TAATATGGCATCTGTGATACCCCAAAATAGCTGGCAACCAAAATAGCAAGTAATCAGGGCCGGCTCCATCTACATAAGCCTTGTGTGGTGACCCCAACCCCCAACATTTTATACATAGCTAATTGTAATTATATATTTATACCTCTAAACATTGTCAAAATTAATTTTTTTTAGTTGGTGTCTGTTATTTGCCATTCTCTCCTATTTGATATTTTTAATTAAATATAACATTTCTACCTTTAATATAATCTTCAATATTTAATATGTGAAACTGGATTTTTTATGTAATTTTATGTATTTTTAATCTTTAGACATTTATTTTTTTATATCATTTTGTATTTTTATGGCGACTTTGTTTTTGGTGCTTTGACACATGTCCGGTGGAAGCGGGGGCCGGGGGCTGCCCCCCCCACTTTTTGGCAAAAAAATATATAATATCTTGAGATTTTTGTATGATCGGAAATGCAAAAAAAGAAGGAGGGAAGAAGGAGGAGAAAGATGGGAAAGAGAATGTTTATCCGGTACCCGACCGAGTTACATTTTCTCGCAATTCACATTGGCGGATCTGGGGGAGGGGGTCATGGGTCCTGACCCCCTCCCTTGGGCAACAAAAAAGGGGGAAAAAGAAAAGAATTCTAGACCTACCTTTTCAGGACCGGTGAGCTGTTTTGTTTTTTTTTTGGTTTTTTTTTGCAATTAGAAAATTAGAATTTTTAAGAAAATAAAATTCAAATGTCGGGAATGCTCATTTCCCGCCATCTAGGAATCAACATTTTCCCGGGGGAGAACACCCGGACCACCCTTTCTTTTTGGGATTTATCGATTTATGGAAAAAAGAAAATGCATGCAACTACTCATTTGTTTATGTATGTATACACACAAACATAAAATAAAAAATGAGCAAAATTTACCTGACCTTTTTCAAGAGGGGAAAACCTTGAATTTTGAAGAACTTTAAAAGTCATTAAAAGACATTTCAGAAGTCAGGAAAGCTCATCTCCCGCCATCTAGATATCGAAATTTTCAAGGGGGGGGGGAACCCGTACCCCCTTTATCTTTAGAGTTTCTTTGATTAATTGAATAATTTTTAAGAGGGGGTCCTTCAATTTTGAAGAATTTAAAAGTCATTAAAAGACACCACATAAGTCAGGACACCTCAGAAGTCGGGAAAGCTCATTTTCCGCCTTCTAGAATCATCAAATTCTTCCTGGGGGAACCCCTGGACCCCTTTCATTTTGAGATTTATCGATTCATGGGGAAAAAATCGTATGCAACTACTCAATTTTTTGTGTATGTATACACAAATAAGGCCTATCTACTGTAATAACAATGGGAAAAAAATACCTGTTTAAGAGGGGAAAACATTGAATTTTGAAGAACTTAAATTGAATTCGCTAAGAGATACTTCAGAAGTCGGGAAAGCTGATTGCCCACCATTTAGAAATCAACATTTTCCCGGGAAGAACCTGAACCTCCCTTTTTTCTTTGGGTTCATTGATTCATTATAATAATTTTCAAAGGGGAAACCTTGAATTTTGAAGAACTTAAAAGTAATTAAAAGACACCTCAGATATCAGGAAAACTCATTTCCCGCCTTCTAGGAATTAAAATTTTCCAAAGACCACCGGACCCCCCTTTCTTTTTGGGATTCATCTCATGGAAGAAAATCGTATGAAACTATTCATTTTTTTTTTATGTATGTATACACCCCCCTCCCTTTCTTTTTGGGATTCATCTCATGGAAGAAAATCGTATGCAACTACTCATTTTTTTTTTAATTTTTTTTTTATGTATGTAGGCCTATACACACATAAGGCCTATTTACTGTAATAACAATAGGAAACAATTACCTGACCGTTTTCAAGAGGGGAAAACCTTGAATTTTGAAGAACTTAAAAGTAATTAAGACACCTGGGTAAGAAGAGAAAAGAAAGAGGGAAGAGGGAGGGAAAGAGAAAGAAGGGGAAAGAAAAAGAAAGGAAAAAAAAAAAAGAGCACAGTACCCTGCATGTCGTGTAAATATAGACAGTCAGCGTTATTCATTGTATTATGTATTCGTGTTCCTTGCACTTTATTTATTCAGAGAAAATAAGAAACTCATCTATTTTTGGCAATAATTAGAAATTATATTTTGAACAATTGTTTTGAACAATTTGTCTTATTCACATGAGTTAAAATAGACTGTACGAATTGTGATTTGGTCAATATTTTGAGTCAGGCTACTACCTTCTGTGTCCAGGTAGGCCTATTCCTACTTTCAGAATTAACCGTTACTGTCCTGTTCGGCCTCGACCAATTTACATAGGCCTATGTACTGTCGATCCAGGTCCCCTCGGAAACTAGTTGTGCCACTGTCTAGGGTGCCATATTTTCAAAATTTGTTAAGCGCACATCCCTCCGCTCTTCCTATAATGGTCGAACGGACCTCTTGCAAAATGCTTCCAAAGACTAGGTTACTTTAGTCGTACCGCCAGGAGCTTCTGGCAGATCAATAATACACCAATTGAATAAGATTTTTTGTTCGAATGCTCTTATGATGCTCTTATGAAACCATTGGAGTGGAGAACGAACCACATTTTCTGAAAGCTTCATCCCCATCAGCGACTTCACCTACACACCACCTCGCCAGGTACAGTATGGTGTGGCGTAATAACGTTAAGATATCGTTGATTCTATTTGGAACAAAAAGAATAGGTTGATAACTGTACTTATATCACGCCCTCAATGCTGGAGAAACTTCCTCTTCGCTGATTTCGAGTATGAACAAGAAATATTACTAATTTGCTTTATGATTACTAACTATGATTATTCGACTCAGAAAGCCCAATAACACAAGTTAAACATCAATTTTACTATTTTTCAACGAGAAGAAATGGAATTATACAGTGGAACATTTAATTTTCGATAATGACGGCAGCCATCTTAAATTAAAAAATGGCTGTTATCATAGGTTTTTGAAACATGTACCCCCCTCCCGCTCAATTTTTTTATTTATACCCTAGTGATGCCAAATCAGCAGAGAAACCTTGGTCCTCGAAAAATGGCCACAATAATAATAATAATAATAATAATAATAATAATAATAATAATAATTGGAATATTTATTAAGCGCTCTTATATATGCGAGATTACTAATCCGTAATAACGAATTAGTTAATTCGTTATTACGGATTACTAATTCGTAATTACGAATTAGTAATTCGTTATTACGGATTACTGAACATATACTTTATTAGCACTAATGGGCTTTCGTAGTCTACAAAAAATCGGGTTATAAAGTGTCAATACTGTACTAACTGGTTTACATAGAGATCACGACGGGTCCAGCGGTGGTGCCAGAAACTGACAAGGAGTCCGACGTGTCCGACGGGGAAGGGTCCTCGGGCAAATGGTTAGGGTTCATAGGGAGAGTTTTTATGGCTTAATTTGGTCTTAATTGTGCTTTTAGACCACAATATTAGTTATTGGTAATCAAAATAGCGTTATTTGGATAGGCAAATTATTATTGTTTCCCACCCGACGTGTGGGAAAATTCCCCCTGCCCCTCCCGCTTGCGCCACCACTGGACGGGTCGTCTTCAGTGTGGACCGACTCTCAGCGTCGATTCTCCAAGCGCTCGCACACATCGAGGACAGATTCGAGTGAGTATCGCTATTCTAAATGCAGCAAGTGAAGTGGCGGCTCTAGGATATAATTTATAGGGGGAGGGGGATAATATGTCCGACTGGGGGATGGGGGGCTAAGTATTTATGGGTGTAACTATAGCCGAAGGCCCGATCCGGGGGTGGGTATGGTAGGGGTTTCCCCCTCCTCCCAAAAAGAGATTAAAAACAAAAATGGTACTTCTAGATGGCTGGACATAGCTGCGATGGTAAAACTAGACCTATTTTTATTAATTATTTTTTTGGTCCGATTGCCCGACGAGCTTTGGCCGATGGGGGCGTGGGGGCTTCATATTTTAATATTCTATTCATTAATTACTTATTTATTAATCTCATAATAAGTAGTGGGGATCCAGGTATTTGAAATAGAGGGGGTCTAAGGAGGGACTTTGGCAGATGGAGGGCCTATACCACCTCAATCCTACCGTGGTTGGGCTGAGGTGAGAAGATTCACTATTATGGCACCTCTAGATGGCTCGCAGACTTACAATTTGAAAAAAAGTTTCTTTTTTTTAGGGGTCCCGGGCCAGCTGAGCCCACCCTTGAATCCGCCACTGATAAGTCTAAGAACAATAACATCAATTATTATAACGTGATTAAACACGCAGGTGAGTACGATTTCACTATTCAGAATTCAACCCTCTTCATCGGTCACCCTCTACTGTTCCTGTTGGTTTCGAGGTTGGCGAGGCCTCGTCGGGACTCCATTATTATATTAGACTCTGCCAGGGATATGATCGGGCCGGGATGAATTAAGTCACTTTTTGACTGAAGGAAAGAAAACAAATATATGTATTTTCTACATTAGTAGAGAAATCGGATAAATAAACCTTCAAAACCCCAAAGGTGTGTTTATACTTCAACGATAACGATAAAAAGCTAAAAAGCGATTGTTCATACAGAAAACAAAGGAAAAAGAGAAGTTTTTACACTAGGACGATTCGATAACGATTTATCGTGTAAACAATAACACAATATTTTAACAAATCAAATCAGATGACGTCATAATCATGGAGAAACGATAAAATCGTTGCTACTACTAGGATTTTAATGTTTTTCCATGATTATGACGTCATCTGATTTGATTTGTCAAAATATGTTATCGCATAACTGATAAATCGTTATCGAATCGTTCTAGTGTAAAAACTTCTTTGATTTTCTATATGAACAATTGCTTTTTAGTTTTTTTTTTTTTATCGTTATCGTTATCGTTGAAGTATAAACAGGGCTTAAATCGTAACAGTTTCTGGGGCCTCTCCGCTGGACCACTTCCGAGATATTTTGAGAGATGGTCATCGATCTGCTACACAGAATCAGTAATAAAACCCATCAACAAACTGTGATGTAAACAAATATTTTTTTATTTTCTCTATAACAACAAAGGGAAAAATGTTACAATGCTAGTTGAAAGTCACTCATGATTTATATAACAGTATTCCAGCACATTATATAACTTCTTAAAACAATTATTTTCTCAATCGGTTGATCCTGTAGTTAGATGTAGAAACGTGTATTCATTGAGTTGGCCTGCCGTGAATGCTATGTCGTACAATATGTGATGACCTCGCATCTCTGCCTGTTATACAGTACTGAACCTGTGAATAACAAATACCCTTTATAATTAGGTGGTGAATTGACCTACTGAATGATAATTAAATTATGATCATTGTCAATAAATTTTATCATCATTGCCCTCGTCGCCTTCTGGTCGTTACTACAATTATTAGATTTATTATTATTATTGTTGTTGTTGTTATTGATGCTGTTGATGCAGGCGAGTTAATTGGCCGAGCGGTTAAGTCAGGGGCACCGTAACCTTCAGCTCTAACATCGGCGCTGGTTTGAACAGCTCACTCGCCAATGGTTCCGATAGTGGAACAAGTCTTCTCGGATAATGGCTTTAAACCGTAGGCCCAGTGTACTCATTTGGCTCGTGTGCACTTTAAAGAACCCAGTACATCCTTCGAGAAGAGTAAGGGTCACTCGGAGTACTGCTCCATTAAGTCCACTGTTGTTTAATGTACAGTATATGCCATTTAGGACAGTGATTAACTTCACTTATTGGCGATCCTTGGCTCGTGCCTAAAGAAATTAAATGGAATGTTGTTGCTGCTGCCGCTGTTGCTGGTGCTATTGTTGTTGCTAGGGGTGTAGTTGCTGGTGGTGTAATTGCTGGGGGTGTGGTTGCTGGTGTTGCTGTTGTTGTTGTTGCTGATGCTCTTGTTGCTGTTCTTTGTTGTGTTGGTGTTGGTGCTGTTGATGTTGCTGCTGATGCTGGTGTTGTTGTTGCTGGTGTTGTTTTGCTGGTGCTGTTGCTGTTGTTGTTGGTGCTGCTGTTGCTGGTGTCGCTGTTGTTGTCGTTGCTGGTGGTGTTGTACTGGTACTGGTGTTGTAGTTGCTACTGCTGCTGCTGCTGCTGTTGTTTTTGTATTTGGTGGTGATAGTAATTCTGTTGCTTGATGCTGTTGCTGCTGTTATTATTATCGCTTCCTTTATCAAGAGCGTTATCGCTATCGCTCAGTGGCGTAACGCCTGCGCTCTCATGCGGCGGTTCACATGCCCCCCCCCCCCGACCACATGGTCCTCGATCTAGCACCCTGATCCAAAAGGACTTTGCTGATATATAACACCATAATTTGTCCCTGACATCGAATCATATTATAGGCCTAATCCTGTGGCAAATTAAAAGGGCCCCAGGATTTTAAATCTGTGAGTGCCATTTCAGGCCACTTAGAGTGACTTGGTAACATATTTTCAACCATGTTGGGGTTGGGGTGGTAATGACCCTTTATCAGTGAAAGTCTCTTCCTGGGCCCTATTAAACATTCCTGGATTCGCCACTAATGTCATATAATTTTTTTTATTCGTTAAAACATTTAGGATGCAATGAAAGACATAATTAAACAATGAGGACATCTAACATCTAAGATTACACAATAGAGTTGACGATCGGGACCCAAAAGCCCCCCCCCCACCAAATCTCAGAAAGCCACATACCCCCAGCCCCATTGTTAAGCCACTGCTATCGCTAGTAGTAGCAGTAGTAGTATTATCCTATAATGAGATAGTAACATTTTTGTTATGGAAACTTATTTTCTTACTTGACAGCCATAGAGTTTATGGAATGAATGGCCTCTGCGTAGTAACATTGCTCTCACAGCTTCCAGTATGCAAAATCGCCGCCGTCTTGTCTTTGCTCTTGCATACAATTGCGTTGAAAACACACTCGGACGGATATGTTACACCATCATTGCCGCACACAGGATTGTATTCCAGAGGACAGGCGGTCTCACAGACCTCCGCTGTAGTCATTGCCTTAACGGTTGGCTCCACTACAAATAATTAAAATTATTGTTACTTTTAATATATCGTAATTTTAAATAACGACAATGTTTAAACTGTTACTGTTATTTTTCGGAAGACATGGCCGTCATTAACGGGGTCCGTTGACAAAAAAAAAAAATCACTGCTGGTGTTTACCTTAAGAGCCAAGATTTACTGTTATACTACATAATTATGCTACATAAATGTATTTCGGTTACCTTTGTATTTCATAATAATGATTTATATATTTTTTTAGTTTTGTTTTATTGATTTATAAAAGATTTACTTCGCCTAACCCAGGGTGGGACCATACAGTTACTCTTTCTTGAAGGATCCCGGAGCTCATCGTGAGCAGGGCGATCATAAAGAGAATAACAAATTCATCTACCCTGAATAATAAAAGTGAATTCCAGAAATGTTTATGATTAAATAGGCCTATAAGCATACGGTAAAATATTTTTCGACACTAAAAGATAAACTAATACATAAAAACAAATTAAAATAATCCTCAACAATAACGTACAATCAAAACTTGAATTTCTCATTTGAAATAACCACATTGCGTACTGTTTTTAATTTCTCAAGTTTCAGTTAATGAAAACTTGTATTTAATGATTTACTGAGTTTTACTTACTACAAAAATCTTTACATTTCCTTGCAGAAATTTACGAGCATATAAAAGATGTAGAAAAAAAAAATGGTTTCACCTTCTAACTTCTATTTGAAAATAATATTGAAAGAAAATAAACAATTTTTAAATTTTTAGTTTAGCTTTCATTCTAAATTTAATAAAAGTTATTGCCCATTAAAGTTTTTATGAGATGACCATTTTTTTAGAAAAATGTATTATATGCATTGCGATTGAACACTAAGGTTCTACGCCAAACAGAATATCAATCGGAGGACTTGGGCAGGGGTGGCGTCAGGATTTGCCCGACCGGGGGGGGGGGAGCGGTGGCGCTTCCCCCGACGCGGTGACCCCGGCCCCCCGGTGGCGCCACCCCTGGACTTGGGTCCGAATCCCAATTGAGTCCATGCAATTTCTAATAATATCCTGTTATATAAAATGCTATTCGACAGTTGGTATCACAAGAAAATCAAATATAATTATAAATACAATTACAATGAAGATGGATTAACTGATAGTGTCAAGAGAGTATCTCAGATGTACTGGGTATCAGTGTTTTGAATGTGTATTGGAAAAGATTTTTATTACAACTTTTTAGTTGACTTAGGCTTGCATAACTCCATCATGATTCTGCCGTCTGCACCTTCTTGTCGGTGGGAGCCGATCCGTTGCGTTCCGTCCTGGCGTTGCGCAGCGTATTTGCTTAGAATCGCCTCGCAGGGAGTGCCAGGCTGAAGTTGTAAGTTCATCTTCATATACTTACGTTCGCCCACTTGAGGCTGATTGACGCCTGAATCAGCTTCTGTAACATTCCCAGTTTCTTCCGTTTCAATTGCTGGTCCAGGCGTTGCAGTTACCACTACGGACGAGAATATTAATGACGATTCTATGCCTATTAGTGAAGATTCTGGGGGGAAAAATTGTTTATATACACCAAATTATTTCATAAGATCTTTTTTCCTTTTGTTTTAAGCAGGCTACATTCATGCAAAATATTAAATTACCGTCTAAAAAGTGATGGGCGCTGAAAATTCCTCTACTTTTGGATCATGTGTTGTAAATAACTCGAGGCTACTAGGAAAATAGAAACAGAGGCTGATGGGGAGGGGCCACGTGAGGAATAAAAAGACCCTGTTTGGGGAAATATACTGACAATTATTATGGGGTACCCTAAGGACTGAGGCCCTCGGCTTTGGCCGATGAGAGCTCTTAGCTGTTACGCCAATGCTTTTAAACTGTACGTGCCACTTTGAAAATTCTTGTTTAATAATTGACCCAAAATTGCCCATTTTTCTAGGCAACAGGAAGCGTGACCCCTTCGTCACCACTTTTTGTCAGACACAGCTTTACTCCTCTAAAAGTATATGCTACAATTGAGCCACCACTGAACCCACACCAGTAAACCACAGTAGCCTAGCATATGACCTATTATGGTTGGGAAACATTACGTGAGCATGTTTGGAATGGTAGTACGCAAGTTGACATTATGGGGTCGCCAGTATTGCAGTAAACTGTGATTTTGGGTAGCGAAAAATTTGGTATAATTAACCGAGGTAGCTGAGTGTTAGGTCTCGTGCCCGTTTTGTGTTAAAACATACAATTTAATCCAGACCATGAGTTTTACATCTAAACTTCCATCCAGGCTAGAACAAAATCCCTAATAGGTGGTCCTTGATTCTTGCATTTTTTTCTTTAAAAACTTATAGCTATGAATGAATTGTTACAATATGTAGTTATTCAGCATTTAGTACATACAAAATTTAATAAAACACATCAAAGAGCCATTTGTTAAATTTATTATATGCTGTTCTAAACGATCGTCTTCACCAGAAGGCAAAAGTTAATACTTCCGGGGTTTGGCCGAATGGTACTCAGTATACGGCTCTAAGTTTTACCTTGTGTATCATATGTCTCTCAAAAGATA